CATCGCCGCCGCCGCCCTAGAAAAGATGATGGACGAGGACGACGAGCGCGTCGCGGAGCAGCAGCAGCAGCAGCAGCAGCAGCAGCAGCTCGACGGTGAGGTCGAGGAGCGAGCGCTTGGCAGGCGGTCCTCAGACAACCTCGACAACCGCACCCCCGCAGCCGCAGCCGCAGAGGCGCGGGAGCAGCGCCCGCAGCCGCAGTGGAACCCGGAACTTCCGTAAAGGCACAGTGATTCATGCACGCGTGGGCGGCAATGCTCGCGCCGCGGAGGCAGTTGCGCTCCCGCGTCCCGGCGACGGGGACGCGCCGTGTCGCGTGTGCCAGCCACTTCTGTTAGAAATTTGCAAACATGAAATCGTCACCTCTCAGGTCCTCGACTCATCAGCGATATTTTGGGCTGTGAGCACTCTGTGGCGCTGGCGGCGCCGGCGGCGCGAGGACCAGCAAGTGCCTCTCCGCGCCGGCGTCGCTCACGGGGAAGTAGCCGCGCCGCGCGAGCCTCCGCTCGACGAGCGCATCGCCGCCCTCCCCCTCCGCCTCGCTCGCCTCCGCCTGCAGCGCGGGCGGCAGCCGGCGGCGGTGCGGGTTCGAGCCGGCGCCGAGGTGGCAGCGTCTCCCGTCCGGGCCGACGAAGAAGGTGACTGGCGGCAGGCGGCGGAGCGGCCGGAAGCCGAGCGTGGCCCAGCCGCCGCCCTCTCCCCAGTCGCGGTCGATGACGGTGACGATCTCATCCGGCTCCGCCTCGCGCGCAAAGGCGGAGAGCAACTTCGAGATGCCCCCGACCACCGTCTCGCCTCGCCTGCTGCAGTACCTGCGCAGCAGCGACGAGGCGGGTGAGCCGGGCGGTCCGCGCACACAAAGGGGCTGGGCGCCGGGCTCCATCTAGCCAGGCACCGGATGAGCTCGTGCGACGCGCGCGCGGTCGCGCCCGGCTCCCGCCGCATGTTCCAACGCGCCGAGAAGCTCGCGACGGCGACCAGCCGCTCGTCTCGCTTGCGGAAGAGGCCGTAGCGGTAGCGAGCCTTGGTCGAGCCCCACAGGTGGTTGCTCACGAGGAAGGCGTCGAGCGTGGCGGCGTCGATCCGCCTCGCCACCGTCTGGCGAGCCATCACACGCTCCGAGCGGCCGAGCTTTGCGAGGAGGCGCGAGCGGACGATGCGCGGGTGCTCGTCCCACTGGTCCTCCCACAGGTGGACGAGCGTCTGCCTTCGCGTCGCGAAGCTGTCCGAGAGCGCGATGGGCACTCGCGCGGGCAGCACCGCATCTGAGCTCCGCGGCGTCGGAACTAGGTGCAGCGCCACCGTCGAGTGCGCGCCGCGCACGAGCAGCAGCGGCCGCGATGAGCAAACGGAGCACGAGCGAGTGCGGAAGCCCTCGCCTTGGAGCCACGCGGCGACGGTCGACGCGAAGTCGCTCGGCCGTACCATCGCGGAAGAGTTTTAGCTTTTTTTTTATGTTACTCCCTTAATGTGGGTAAACGAAAGTAGCGTATACGCTACTATGAAAGAAGAAGCCGAAAAGACGCCGGAGTCAGTCCGCCCGAGCCAGCCAGCTGCCGGCTCGCACGGCAGCCTCTTCCTCTCGACCAGCCTCAACTTCCGTACAGTCAGCATTTTGTCGCTGCGTGCTCGTGGCCAGCTGTGGCGGCGGTCGAAGTTCGCCCAGGTTCGGTGACGAGCGCCAGACGATAGTAGTGTCTCTGTTCGCCCTGTGCATGTCAGGCCAGGCTGCAGCAGGGCACTACCATCGTGCTGCCCTGTTGCAGCCTGACTTTGCCCACTGTGCACAGTCGCCAGAGCACCACCACCGCCCGGCATCGTGTCACGGCGAGCTCCTTCTGCGCCCGCTCGCGAGGCTCTCGCGCTGGCACACTTTGGCCATCTGCTGCTCGCGTTCGGCGAGCTCATCTCCGCACTCCTGCCACGGTGCCGTCACCACACACCTTCTGGCCGGCCTGAGCCGCGCGGGGTCGCCAGCGGGGGCAACGCGTCGACCTCTCTCTCTGGTGCACCACGGGCCGCAACGGCCTGCTAGCAGCGTGCGCGAGGAGGCAGTGTGCCGGCACAGTCGAGCCGGAGCATCGGGTTCTTGATGCTTGTGGGGTCAAGTCTGACCTTATGCGGCCTAATATGCAATAATAATGCTATGCTCTCACCCAGTCTTTTGAGATATTATCCCTCAAAGTCGAATTTTCGTTTACTGGTGACCATAGTAGTGTCTGTCTTGTTTGCGAGATCTTCAAACGAATCCTTTAAAGTCTCGACAATCACTAAGCTGCTTATGTGGCACCGCAGAGGCTCCCTTGGGGATGCCTGAGGCCACCCCAACCACTCACTAGGCCGTACGTGGACGAATTGGCCGCTACTTTTTTCGTTTACCTACATTAAGGGAGTACGGAGAAGAGGCAAAAGGTGGGGACGTGTCTGTCCTCGACCCAGCCCTAGCTTGGGATGTCCGTTTTATTTATTTATTTATTTGGAGAAGAGGCATAGAGGCGTCGTGTTGGCAAACAAGACGCATACAGGCGCTGTGTATGGCGATCCGCCTCCACTCTTTGTTGCTCGCTCGCCCGGGCGGAGGGCATGGCCGCGGAGGAGGCGGGCGCGCGCTTGCCAGGCCTTCCGCAGACAGCCTCTCGGGCAGACTGAGGGTCGGCTTTGCGTGGCGTGGCCCGTGCGCTGCGCTGCGCAAAGCTGTGTGTGTTGAGGGAGCATTTGGTGCTTCCTTTGGGAGGTGCGCACCTCCTGCGACTGGTGGAGGGCCGTGCCGCCGCGCGCCAGCTCCGTGGACAGGGCGGGGAGACGGCGCCGCAGCGCCACAGCCTCCGCTGCAAGCCGGTGCAGCACTCTGCTGCTTGGTGGGCAGCCTCCTGGATCTGTGCGCGACATTCGCGAGGCTGCAGTGGCGCTGTACTGCCTGCCGCGGCGAGTGGCGCGCGGCACGCGCGGCGCCGCGCGTGGCCCGGACAGCGCCAGAGAGCGCGCTCGATGGGCCAGCCTGCGCGGGTACCCCAGCCTCCGACGGGGCGGTTCCGGGTCCCCCAGGCTCCGCGCGGGTTGGAGCGGTGACGGCCACGTCGGCGGCGGGGGCGGAGGCGGCGGAGGGGGGGGCGGATACGGCGGCGGCACCGGCGGTCGCATCGCTTGGTATGGGGCCCCGATGGCGGCCCCCTGACCCTGCGGCCACCCCAGCGGCGGGGGCGGAAGCGGTGGCGGGGGTGGCGGGTGCGGTGGCGGCACCGGCGGCCGCAGCGCCTGGTGTAAAGCCCCAGCAGCGGCCCCTTGACCCAACGGCCGCTCCACGGGAAAACAGAGAGGAAAAGAGAGGGTGCTGTAGAGAAAAAAGGAAAGGAAAACAGACGGGGTGCGAGAGGCAAACCTGCGAAAGCCCAACCAATTTCTGGGACTCTTGCTTGATTGACGAGGTGTGCTAGTCGCTATTCTCCGACGGTACCGACATGTCTGACGGGCAGTTCCGGCTCGAGTGAGAGCCGCGGTCGCGGTCGCGGCCAGCGCGTGGGGCCTTCCCCTTTCTCCTGGTGTACGAACTGTGTAGGACTGTGTCACAGGGTAGGTAGGTAGAAAGGTGAAGAACAGCCAGGCTCGGACTGGACACCAACGCGGTATGGGTGCAGGGTGGACGCTAGACAGATGATGACGACACGCACGAGCGACACACAGACACAAACAAGCTCACAAGACACACAGCCAGCGGGCTGCCACACACCCTGAGTTGGTGAACACATAACTCAAGGCCACATCCTCCCTGTCGCCCCCCCCCAGCACTCCAAGGTGCCAAGAGAACAAACAAGGGCACAACAAACAACAGACGACAGGAAGTAACGTGCTAGGCTAGAGCAGACCGCTCCGCCTCTAGCAATCTCGCCGGCCGGCGAGGCACGGACGAGACCGTGTGTGTGTCTAGTGAGGTGTCTATGGACGCCCTCCTCACAGGCTAGCGGCCTACTACTAGCCCTAACTCGCACTCATGGGAGATGTCAGTTCATTGTACGAGTGTATGCAAGCAGAGGCGCGTGTGCTGATTCTAGATCGCACGCCGTGGCATATGACTTGGGAGTCGTGCGACCGCAGTGCACCCGTCGTAAGGTCGACGGGCGCGCGTGTCAGCGAGAGAGTTGCGGGCGGAGCCATACCCGACTTTTAGAGGAAGAGCCCCGCGCGCCACGGTTGCCAGCCGTGCCTTCGCGGGAGCCGCCCCTCGAGCCGCGTCTCGTCGCCACTGTCCCTGAGTGCGTCCCGCCTTGGCGGCACACACTCGACGAGGACAGTCCGGCCGACGAGATCGTGTCGCGCGCCGGCGACGGTTGCGGCGTCGTGGTTTCGTTCGAGTACGAAGCGAAGATGGCACTACCACCGCCCTTCATCGCAGACCGGGCAAGGAGGGGCCTGCTCCCGTTCCGCGAGGAACAGGAGGTCTCCCCCCCTCCCCCGGGGCCTGTACAGGGCACAGATGGAGAAGAATTCTTAAGATACAAGCCATGGAGAAGAAATACTCGAGGACATATATGTGCGTCATCGCGCTGTGCGCGGGTCGTTTTGAGGTGCGAGCCCTGGAGGCCCTGGGTTCACACCGAGCGAGGAGCTGCTGAAGCAGCGGACAGCGCGTTCGCGAGCAGTGAGGCTCGTGAGTAAAATGCCCGCGAAAGAGAATGCGGCCGAGCAGCAACAACAGAGCCAGCTCGCAGCGATGCGGAGCGAGCTCGGCGAGATGCGGCGATTTGTCCGCTCGCTCCTCGCGCTGGAGCTGGCCAAGCGGACCCTCGCCGTCGTGCGCGTGCAGGCGGGGTGGAGAGCAGCCCGCGACCGGCGCGGCGTTGTGGCGAGGGCCTTTCGCGCGCGTCGCCGCCTGCGTGTCCTCGTGTCGACGTGGCTACTCCACGTGAGCGTGCCTGCGCCGGCAGGCAGCGCGGCGTTGAGGGCGAGGCTGCACGCGCTCGGCAGGGGCTTCCTCGTGCGTCGCAGGCTGCGTCGCTACCTCGCGCAGCACCGGGCCGCGCGCCGCCTCCAGGCCACCACTCGTGGGGGCCGAGCGCGGCGCGCGTGGCGACTCGCGCTCGTGCAGGCGCGCGCTCGCTCGCCACTCGCTCCCCCGTCTCTGTGCCCTCACCGCCCTCTCACCGTCCCCCTCCCTGGCCACGCGCGCAGCACCGCCGCGCGCTGCGCCTCGAGGCGGAACTGGCGGCCGAGCGGCGAGCGCGGCGCGTGCACGAGGCGGTGCTTCGCACCCTCTTCCTCCGGCTGGAGCGGCTCGAGCACTCGGACGCTGCTGCAGCGCCGCCAGCGACCCCGCCGCCCGCCGCGCCGGTGCTGGCGAGCCCGGCAAGCACGCCCTCGATGGTGTGAGGGTTTTTCTTTCTTCGCGCGGTGTGTTTTTCTTTCTTCTCTTCGCCCTTCATCCGAGAGATGGGCGACGCACGAACACAGAGGCACAGCAGGGCGTAATACCAAGATTTGTTAGCGTCAGGCAACCGTGGCGCGTGGGGAGCCAAACGACGCGCACCAAAGGCCAAACAAACACTCGGTATTGCTAAAAATCTCTCTCTCTCTCAAAGGCCCAGCCCTGTAGCAGGCGCTCGGCACGCTGTCCGGAGGCGCTGTGGCTCACAGGGCGAGTGCCTGTGGCTCGCGAAAAAAGTCGAGAATCAGGGTTTACAAATCCGGTTTCACATTCCTGCACCCCACCCTAAGATACAGCCCACCGCTCTTTATACTCGTTTATTCACGAGGCGACCCCAGGGAGGTTCCCTAGTGGCGTGCTGTGAATTCTTCTCAATAACAAGGCTGTGAACAAAACAGCGAAGAAGACGCCTGGATACAGCCTGAGATAGAGCCAAACGACAAAGGCCCCAGCCAGCCCGAGGCCAAGCCGAGTGAAATTGCAGCGAGCTTGAATGCTCTGGCTTCTCATTTCTCCACAGTCCTCAACGCAAGCCGCGGATGAGGCTGCCTCGAGCGTGCCGTCGCCACAGCCGGCCTCGCCAGCCACAGACGAGCCTCCGGCCTCGCCAGCCACAGCTGAGGTGTCAAATCTGCCGTCCTTTGCCGCCATGCGCTCGCTCCTCGACAGCGCCACCAGCTGCTCGCTGGAAGCGTGCCGGGGCCAGCCCTCCGCCTGCCCGACCCTCACCCGAGGGCTCGCTTCGACCCGTCCGGCCAACGCAACGTTCACCCACCAGTTGACCATCGAGAATAAAGCGCACGGCGACGCCCTCCTCGCCTGGGTTTCCCCCAATGGTAGCGAGGCGTCCCTCCTCCGGCTCGGTGCTGGCGAGCGGCGGACGGTGAAGAGCTACACGGGCGACGTGTGGAGGGCGCGCGCTCTCGCCGGCGGAGCGCTGCTGATGGAGGCGCAGACCGGGCCAGTCTCGGTGCGGGACTGTGGCTGCCTGGACCGGCCACTCGTGGTCTGCCCGCCTCGCGAGCGCAAGCCGCGCAACGCCTCCGACGGGGGCGGGCCGAAGGAGCCCGCCGGCTTCGTCAACCGGGCGGCGGTGCCCCTGCACGTCTGGGTCGCTGGCAGGAGCTGCGAGGTGCTGCTCACCGAGAGCTCGCCGATTGCGGCCGGCGGCTACCGGCTCTTCAACGCGTGGCGCGGCCAGACCTTCCGCGCCCGCGACGCCTCGACCGGCCGCCTCGTCGCAGAGCACCTCGTCGGCTCGCTCCTCGTGCCGGCCTGCCTCGTGGCGCCGCAGATGGCGGAGGCGGAGGCGGATCCAGAGGCGCGGCTCGGGGACGAGGCGCGGCATGCGCTGCGCCGCCTCGCTGCGACGCTGCTGGCCGAGCGGCGCGTGCGCGACGCGCAGCTCGCCGCCGCCAGCGCTAGGATCAGCGAGCTGGAGCAGCGCCTGGCCCGCCTCGAGCCGCTGCTCGGGGCGAGCGACGGGGGCGGGGGCGGTGAGGCCGAGCAGAGCCTCGAGCCTGCCACCGAGTCGACTCAGCAACCCGCTGCGGCTGACGCGGAGGCGCACGACGAACTTTGAGAGAACGCTCTTATTGATGACACCTCTGTCCTTCGACTGGTGCCCCGGTTGTGTTCACTTCTCAGGGCACGCGCACTTCACCACTCATATACTAGCTCGTTGCGAGAGGGTTCACCCACACGAACAGGGACTATTCGTGTCGTATGTCGATGCACGATGGACGATGCAGCCTGCACGAGAAAGAAACCCGCGTGCTTTCTTTTGGAGCTAGTTCTAAATTCTAATTCACTCCGACACGCTAACCGGCACCAAGAGCGGCCGCACATTGCTCGGTACCCCCCCTGCACATCTAAAGCCATCCCTGCTGCTGGGGGGGGGGGTCTGACCCCCCCAGCAGCAGAGCGCACGGACCCAAGTACTCTCCCGCCCTTCGCCGCCGTCCCCCCTCCACCTCGGCTCGTGTTTGAGCGTACGCTCGAGGCGGTTGTGTTCGTAGGAGGGCCCGCCGGTGAGACCACTGATTTTGGTGTCGACCATAAATTCTCGCCACTGGAACACATGCTACTTACAGCTGCTGTCTGTACAGAGATGCCAGCACCCCCCACAGGCAGAGCGCTCCTGCTTGGGGGGGGGGTCCGGACCCCCCCAGCAGCAGAGCGCTGCTGCTGGGGGGGGGGTCCCGACCCCCCCAGCAGCAGAGCGCTGCTGCTGGGGGGGGGGGTCGGCCATGGCTTTAGATGTGCAGGGGGGGTACCGAGCAGTGTGCGGCCGCTCCGAACTCTTGATTCGTAGATCGGCGTCTCACGGCCAGCTCACGACTATCTAGATAGTTGCAAAAAGTCTCACGTGGAAAAAGCACCAAAAACTACCATCAGTAACCAGCCTCCGGCGGGCCCCCCCGCTACCATCCAAACCCGAGTACCCGTCATAGATAGAGGCTCAAGTGTGACATAAGTCCGCACACACATAAGCGTATCATACGACATACACACATAGACATACACAAAGCAACTCTCACGACACACGGGCACCGGGTGGAGCGGCGGCGGCGGCGGCAGCAGCACGCGCGGGCGGACGGATTCGGACGGGGCGGAGCAGCGACCGCCTGGGCGGCCGCTGCTCTGTCTGCCAGAGCGCGCCGTCTGCGCAGCTGGCAGCTCGAGCGCAGTCAGGTGCACAGGGAAGCGTGGCGGCGCGGGGAAACGCGGCGGCAGTGGCGGCGGCGGCGGCGGCAGCGGCACGCGCGGGCGGACGGATTCGGACGGGGCGGAGCAGCGACCGCCTGGGCGGCCGCTGCTCTGTCTGCCAAAGCGCGCTGTCTGCGCAGCTCGAGCGCCGTCAGGTGCAGGGAAGCGTGGCGGCGCGGGGACGCGCGGCGGCGGTGGCGAGCAGGCGAGCGGCCCGCGCGCGGCGAGGCGGACAGGTGATCGGCAGGCGGGTGATGGGCCGCAGAGTGACCGCGCCCAGCGATCGGAGCGAGCCGATCGTCGCTCGGCCGCTGCTGACCTCGAAGGCGTGCGGAGCGCGACTGTCGGTGTCGGGGGGCGGCCGTCATGTGGCGAGGAGGAAGGACGACAAGTGCGCGTCGTACGGGTCGCTCTTCATCGGCCAGTCGAGCAGCACTCAAGTCGAGACCGAGCATGGGCGACGAAAGCCGGTGGGGGCCGGTGAGGCCGGCGAGATTCGTTGCGAGATACGTACGGTTCGCGCCCAAACAAGTTTGGACGCTCTGGGGACGCGCCGAAAAACCAGTCCGATGGAAAGGGGGCTACTGGGGCGGCAAATTCACACCTCGCGGGACTACTTATGTTTTCGTAAACGTAGTTGTGGCCCCCCGCTACGTCGCACGAGTGCAACTGGGTAGCGGGGGGCTAAAAACGATGTCACGGCCAGCTCGGCACTATCTACTCAAAAAAGTGACGTAGAGCAGCCACTTTTTAAGCGTTCCGTGCACACACAAGGTCCGCCTGCGTGCACCGCCAGCTTCTCAGGGCCATCGCGCGAAAAACGACGGAGGAGATGCATCCTAGCTGTCGCCACCGAAGGCGACTCGACGTCGCTGAGATCGGAGATCAAGCTCTGACAGGTCACACGTCGCAACATTCGAATTTCGAATGCAAGTCAAATCTGTCTAGACCGGACACGGATAGAAGTGTGACAGCTCGCACCGTCGGCTAGGCGGTCGGTGCGTCGCGTAGAGGGTAGACGTGGTACTTGCGCGCATCGCCCTTCTTTCCGGGGAGCGCAAGTCGTAGATGATCGAGAAGTGGCGGGTAAGCAGATATCAGACGCGCGGGTAGCAACCCCGCGCCAAGCGTATCTGCGGTGTCTCTCCCGACGTGTAGGTCAACATATTAACAGCCTCCAGGAGAGGCAAGAGCCTGGCGCGATGAGGTGCACCTCCCTTGCGTCAAATATCGCAGCGGACGACAAAGGTGGTGCCGTCAGACACAAAGGTGGCGACCATAAGCGAGTCGCCCAGCGCCTGCTCTCGGCGGGGCGGCGTATGGGCGCCAGGAGAGGTGCTGGGCGCGGCGAGGGGTGCAGAGGCCGGGGCCAGACATCTCGGCTACGTATGTCGGCTTGCATCGCGGCTATATCTCGGCTAAATCTCACCAGGTTGGAGGCCGGGTCGTGCGGTGCTGCCTCGCAAGTAGGGCTGCCGGAGGACGAGGGAGGGACCGGCGGCGGCGGCGGCAGCGGCGAGGGCGAGGGGGGCGGCGGCAGCGGCGAGGGCGAGGGAGGCGGCGGCAGCGGCGAGGGCGAGGGGGGCGGCGACGGCGGCGACGGCGGATCAACTGGCGGCAGAGAAGGTGGGAAGGGCGGCGACGGCGGCGGCGACGGCGGCGGCGCATAGTCCGCAAGGACAAGGCTCCCCGTGATGGAGTAATGAGAGTCTTCGAATTCATTCGAGCCGTCGTAGATGCAGACTTTGTATGCGGATGACAGTCTGTTGAAATCCGGCGGCAGATCGAAGTGCACTTGAACCGTGCCATTGGCCACCACAGCCCTGGTGCCTTCAACAAGCGGTCTGACTCCAACATTGATAGCGACGTCCCCTGCGCCCGTGCAGACCTTCGCCGTGTCGTCATTGATGAAGGCGATTTTGTCGGGGACGTAAAGGAACATGACAATGTTGCCCTCGCTGAAGCCGTCGCCGGTGACGGCGAGAGAAGTGTCCACGCCCAAGGGGACGAAGCCGTACTGTTTGAAGCCAGCGATTTTATTAAGCAGCTCCAGTGGCTCGCCGAATGCCACCTCGGGCGGCGGCGGCGGCGGCGGCGCGGGCGGCGGCGGTGTGGGCGGCGGCGGCGAAGGCGGCGTAGGCGGCGGCGGCGGCGGCGGCGGCGTGGGCGGCGGCGGTGTGGGCGGCGGTGGAGATGGTGGCGGCGGAGATGGCGGGCTCGGCGGGGCCAACGGAGAGAGCCTTGTGCAGAGGTCGTTCTTCTCAAACTTGGCGATGATGTCTTGGATGGTGCTGCCAAAGATGCTGTTTCCCGACGTTGCAATGGCCTCCAGCGTTTCGTTGCTCACCCCTCCGAAGCCAACTGCGAAAAGGGTGAGGTCTGGGTCTTGCGCCTTGATCAGCTCCGCCTGCCGTATCGCCTCGGACTTTTGATAAGGTCCGGTGTCGCTTCCGCAAAGATTCCCGGCTTTATAATCGCCGAGCGGGCTGTTGTTAAAGTCCCAGTTCTCGTAACAGGAGTCGTCGTTTGCGACACAACCTGGGTTGCGGCTGCAGGTCTGCTCTCCATCGGTCAGGAGTAGCATGACCTTCGTGACACTTGAACGGCCAGTATCGAGCAGCTGCTCTCCCATGAGGAGCCCGTTGGAGATGAAGGTCCATCCCTCGTCGCCGGTTCTGTAAACCTCAATGGCATCTGCGAGGGCGCCAGCGTTGAAGGTGAGGTCACTGAGCTTGGTCGTGTCGGAGGCAAACTGTACCAGCCCCACGTTAGCGACTGTCTCGGCGACATCCAAGGAGTCCACAACTTTCTGCGCAAACGTCGCCACGTCGCCCCGGCTGTTTTTTATGCTGCCGCTGGCATCCAGAATGATCACCAGATCGCCGACCAAGCGGCACTGGGCAGTCACCGCTGGGAGCAATGCCAGAGAGGAGGCAAGCAGCAGCAGAGTTGAGGCGTAAGTGCGGTGACAGGGAACCATCTGTTAGGGGCAGGGCGTGTCATTTGTGGTGAACACCTTCGTGAGCGTGGGAGAGAGAGTGCCGCTGGATCGAGCGACCGCGGGCAAGGGCAGGCAAGGCGGCATCGACGTGGTGGGAGCGGCTTGCGAGGGTAGGCGGGGAAGCTGCGGCGCGTGCGAACGATACTGAGCGCGCGGAGCGAGAGGCATGGGTAGGCGCACGGTTCGGCGGCTACAATGTGAGAAAGGATGACACCACGCTCGCTCGTGGTCCTTTACGATTTCAAGTATCTTGAGCACTTGAGCACTGGATAGGGCCGATTCCGCGTGGTACGGGACCCCTCGATCGTCTCGCCCTCCCTCACTGGTATGTTCATTGGGGGGGGTCATAACAAACACGGTACAGGATCGAGGTGCACGCTGCCGAAGCAGTGTCGTCCCCCCTCTCCCCGACGGCGATGGCGGTGTGACCGATCGAGCTACAAGAGGAGCTTGGTCAGCAGGATCCGGGATAGTCTGATGCACTACCTCACTGGGCCTGAGACCATCAGCCAGCATCCCGTCACCGTCTCGGGTTTGTGTGGGATCGAACCACTCCGGGATGGGCAAGCCCATCGTTCATTGTGCCTTTTCCCACCTGCGCGCGAGGTGGCGTGGTCATGTGTGCCATATCAACCGTGTGGCGGGCAGGGGAGTGAGGGGGAGAGAGGGGAGGGGGGCGGGCGTGGCAGGGGCTCAGCCAGCGCAGAGGTCAACAGAAGAGCAGTAGACATAGCAACTTCTAGACGTACTACACACACAAAGAACATAGCCCACTCACACGTGGCATGAAGTCACTTCAGGCGGCTCCACCCTTCGAGATGTAGTACACACACACAAGGAACACGGCCCGTACAGCGCCAGTTCGAGTCAGCGACCCATCCCCCCGGGCCCCCCCACAGGGCCCTCCGTGCGCTTCCGGCCCGCCTCCCTCCGGCTGCGCGATTTTTGGTGCTTGCTCTTCGAGGTTCGCTTCCCCCCCCCTGCCGGACCCCCCCGTCCCCCATCTCCCCAAACACGCCTCCCGCCTCCCCACCCTCCACCCCCACCGCCTCCTCCTCAATCGGGTCCCTCCCCCGCTTCCTCCCCCGCTCCCCCGCGACGCCCCCCCCTTCCCGCCCCCCGCCGCCCCCTCCGCCGCCTCCCCCCCCCCCGTCCCGCGCCCCGAGCCCGGGCGCCTCCTCCCCGCACCCTGCGCACAGCACCCCCCCGTTCGCGGAGAGCACCCCGTCTTCTTCATGCAGCCCCGGGCTGTCCCGTCCATAAGCGTGCCGGAGGTAGAAGGTCGACAGCACCCCCATGCGGGCCGCCGTCTCCACCGAGTCGGCCCTGGGCCCCCGAGGACCCCTTGGCTTGCCCTTGTCGGAGCGCGGCTTCTTCTTGCTGGTGGCCTCGAGCTGCGCCGCGTCGGCTAGGATCCCCTTCCTCAGCAGATCGCCGTGACAGGACTCAATCCTACCCGCGCATAGGAGCACAAGATCCGTGCCGTCTCGAACCTTCTGTGCCAGTTCGCGAAGCGCCGCCGACCGCGTCCTCCAGAGTCGATCGGCCTTGTCGTCCAGGTCGACGCGACGGGCGGGGGCAGGTCAGAAGTCAGGTTTGCCAACTTCAGTTTTCGTTCTCGAATTGTCCCGGGCTGCCGTCGGCAACGGAGACGGGGTTGACGTCGATGAAGCTCGACGCAGACTTGACGGTGGGGAAGCCATACTGGATGGCGGCCACTCGGGCGACGCTCGCGAGGTAGACGAGCGCCGCAGCGGGCCGCATCAGCGAGAGAGAGAGAGAGAGCGACTCAAGGAGAGCTTGTCAGCGTAACACAAAAAGAAGGGAATATCGACAACACCTCAAGGGACGAACACGATCCTGCAAAAGGGAGCGCGAATGCACTAAGGTGGCTACGCCTCATCCTGCAAAAGGGAGCGTAGAGGGGTGAGTCCTGCAGAGGAGGTGTGAAGACGCGAAGCGTGGGTTATGAACAGACGAGAAGGCCAGTGCGCGCTATGAACAGAGTGAGTGTGCTGGGCGCTGGGAGTGAGAGGATGAGAACGTCGAACACGATCGAGAAACCGCTCAACCCTCCGTCCCTCCCCCCCCACCTCTATTTTCTTCTCAACGGTGTGTGTGCCAGTCTTCCGCGCCAGTCCGCGCCCTTGAACACGATCGAGAAACCGCTCAACCCTCCGTCCCTCCCCCCCACCTCTATTTTCTTCTCAACGGTGTGTGTGCCAGTCTTCCGCGCCAGTCCGCGCCCTTGAACGCGATCGAGAAACCGCTCAACCCTCCGTCCCTCCCCCCCCACCTCTATTTTCTTCTCAACGGTGTGTGTGCCAGTCCGCGCCAGTCCGCGCCCTTGAACGCGATCGAGAAACCGCTCAACCCTCCGTCCCTCCCCCCCCCACCTCTATTTTCTTCTCAACGGTGTGTGTGCCAGTCCGCGCCAGTCCGCGCCCTTGTCGTGCCAGCGTGCTGAAAGAAAGAAAGAAAACATAAATAAATAAATAAAACGGACATCCCAAGCTAAGAAAGAAAACATAAATAAATAAATACAACGTACACGCCAAACGAGGGGTGGGAGAAGGACAGGGTCCCCACCTGCACGAGCAGGATCTTGTAAGGACGATCAGGGACACAGGGGAACGGGAGCGGGGAGCGCATCGCGACACGGAGGGGGGCTGGGCAGGGTTCACCCTCACGACAGGGTCCTAAGAAAGAAAACATAAATAAATAAATAAAACGCAAGGGTGGCCGGCGCGTGCCAGCCGCTGGCCCGTCCAGCGTGGCGGGGCCGGCTCGCCCATCCTTGCCCGCGCGCTTGCCGACGCGAGAAGATCGCGCGAGAGGGCAAAATGTGGGCAAAATGGCCTGTTTGCCAACCCTTCACGGCGACTTCACGGCCGAACGAGTCGGATCGACGTCTCGCCGCCTGCACCAGCGTGTGCGCCTCGCAATTCTATACAGAATCGACACTTGGTACGTCTTCTGAATCGCTCGTGGAGAGGAGCTACGGCCATTCTCCACTTGTTCGACGAGTTCGACGACGTCGTACATCAGTCCGCGCCCTTGTCGTGCCAGCGTGCTGAAAGAAAGAAAGAAAACAGGTTAGCTTCTGATACTTAGAATTCTTCTCAACGACAACACAGCGTGTGTCTGAGAAGTGGCACCCTGCCCGCCTCCTCAGCGCTGTCACAGGCCTCCGCCGGCCCATTCATGAAGCTATCGGCCGTGCGGAGGCTCGCGCTTGCCGGATCGCTCAGCGCCAGCGTCGCGCTCGGACTGCAGCTGCAGCACGGCCGCGACGCGCGGCCGTTCGGAGCTAGCGTCGCCTTTGCGCAGCCACGGGCTGCTGGCGTGGCCATGCTGGCCTCGCCCGCCGAAGGTCGGGCGCGGCTGATCGACGGCAAGGCCATCGCGGCCGCCGTGCGGCGCGACATCAAGGCGAGCTCCGACGAGCTCAAGGCGGCGCATGGCACGACGCCGGGCCTCGCCGTCGTGCTGGTGGGCAACCGGACCGACTCGGCGACGTACGTGCGGATGAAGAAGAAGGCGGCGGCGGAAGTCGGCTTCTACTCCGTGGACCGCAACTTTGACGAGACCGTCACGCAGGAGCAGCTCCTCGCCACCGTCGAAGAGCTCAACGCGGACCCGCGCATCCACGGCGCGCGCTCGCCTCGGGAGCGGGCGATACGACACTATGTTGTGAGGGGGGGAAGAGTGGCGGACCCGTCCCTCAGGCATCCTCGTGCAGCTCCCTCTGCCGAGGCACATCGACGAAGCCGCCGTCCTCGAGTCCATCGCCGTCGCCAAGGCCGCAGACGGCGCCCCCGCATACGACGACATCACATCACACACGTTTGAATGATATTATATTATATATTATATAGGACGTGGACGGATTCTCCGCGGAAAACATCGGCCGGATGTGCCTCCGGGGCGGGGAGCCGCCCCTCGCGCTGCCGTGCACGCCCGCCGGCTGCGTCGAGCTGCTGCAGCGGTCCGAGATCCAGGTCGCCACACACACACACACACACACTCACTCCCACACGGCTCACCCACGCGCACCGGGCCTCGCACCTCTGAGTGCCGTGGGGCTCCTGTCGTCTAGTCGCGAGGGGCTAGCCTGGCCCTTGCCCCACCACCTCGAGTGTGTGGAGAAACGCACCTCACCTCACCGTACCTCCACGCTGCCGCGCGAGGAAGCGGGTGTGTGGCGCTCCTCGGGACACGTCCACGACACGTCCACGACACGTCCACCACACGTGGCCGCAGGTGGCCGGCAAGGAGGTTGTCGTGCTTGGGCGGTCCAACATCGTCGGCGAGCGCGCGCACACAGCTGCGTCGCGTCGGCGGGCGCAGCGTGACCTGTGTCCTCGCCCCCGTAGGCATGCCTGTCGCCCACCTGCTCCAGTCGATGGACGCCACCGTCACCGTCTGCCACTCGCGCACCGCAGACCTGCCTGCGCAGGCGGCGAGGCCCCCCGACCGCAAAGCCTCGGCCCTCCCCGACCTCCCGACCCGAAGCTGCACTCATGCTATAGCCCTGCACTGCCTCGATGCGTGGCGCGCGCACTGTGCAAGTCCCCGCGCCTCACCCGCCACTCGCCCTCCCGCAGGTGCCTGGGCCCACTCTCGGCCCTCCCGACCCGAAGCCTCGGCCCGACCCGAAGCCTCGGCCCAGAGAGACCGCAATACTTGGGCCCTCCTGATGACCGCAAAGCCTCGCCCCTCCCGACCCGAAGCCTCGCCCCTCCCGACCCGAAGCCCCGCACCCGGAGAGGCCGCAAAGCCTGGCCGCGGCCTTGTTTCGGCGCAGGTGCGGCGCGCAGACATCGTCGTCGCCGCCATCGGACGCGCTGAGCTCGTCAAGGCAGTCACATCTCTCCCCAGATCTCCCCTTATCTCCCCATATCTCCCCATATCTCCCCATATCTCGGCGCTGAGCTCGTCAAGGCAGTCAGTCAGTCAGACAGTCAGTCAGCCAGTCTTACACACACGCCCCCAGCACGGACGACGGGGCACACGCACTCGCGGAACACATGCACATGTACATGTTGTTGCGGTGGCGGTCTGTGCGATCTCGGGAGAGGGTCCGGCAGTCACATGAATGGTCGCCTTGGCGACTCCTCCTCCTCCTCCTCCTCCTCGTCATTGTTGTTTCTCATGTCGACGACGCTGCCCCTCCGTGTCGAAGGCCGACTGGATCAAGCCCGGCGCGGTCGTGATCGACGTCGGCGTCAACTCGAAGCCCGCGCCCGAGGATAAGCGTGGATACAAGCTCTGCGGTGACGTCGACGCGGGCGAGGCCCCGCTTGCCCGCGACGCGTCCCCGACACGTCCACGGCACGTCGTCCCCTAGGCGACGTCGACTTTGACCAGGTTTCCCTCGTCGCGGGCGCCATCACCCCCGTGCCGGGCGGCGTCGGCCCGATGACGATAGCGATGCTGCTCAAAAACACGCTCAACCTCACGCGCCACTCGCTCGGGCTGCCGCGCATCCCGCTCCGCAGGCAGCAGTGAGGCTGCCTCCGCCCGGGCACGCGAGGTCCGCGACGCGCCGCTGGCCGCTGGGGCCGCCCGAGCGTGCGAGGACGAGGCGTCGCGTTTATTTTTGCATGCGGCCGCGCGCCGGCTCTCTGCCGCGTTGCGGCTCGTTGTCGCATGGGTCGGTGGTCCCGGGTGTTTGAAGATTGAACGCATTTTTATCTATACGCGTGTATACCGACTCGTATGTGCGTAGTGGTGCCGTTCGGTTGGGGCGCCAGGGGCGCCACTCCGGTGTCGCTGCAGTCCACTTGCTCCCACACAAGATCAAGAACGAAGAAGCGCAGAGGCGCAGAGAGCTCACCCCTCCTCGTCGGAGGAGGAGCCGTACGCCAGCCCGAGCAGCGAGGCGCCCGCACTGGCGCCGCCACTGGCGGAGGCCGCTCCTGCCGATGCCGCCGCCGGCGCAGCAGCCGCGGCTGCGGGCGCGGGAGCCGCCGCCGCCGCAGGCTTGTCCGCCTCCGCCGCCCGCGGCCGCACGACGCGAAGCGCGGCGGGCAGCGAGGCACCCGGCCGCTTTGGCGGAGGGCGGGGCGGGGGCGGCGCGGCAGAGGCAACCGAGACGGGCGCCACCTGCGTGGTGCGTCGCTCCCGCGCGAGCTTGTAGAACTCTGCACTCTCCTGGTTCATCCGCTCCGCCTCCCTCCGCTGCGCGTTGAGGCGGTCGACTCGCTCCTCCTCGAAGGCGGCGTCGTCCTCGTCGAGCCGCCAGTGGTCCATCTGGTTCTTGAACTGGTGCGCCGCCTCCCACTCCTCCTGCTTCGCGTCGCGCTGCTCCTTGAGCCGGTCGTACAGCGTGCGGTTGTCGTCTGGGTCAAAGTTGGTGCTGACTGCGTCCGACTTGGCCTCCTCGCCGCCACCGCCCTCCTCCGCCGCCGGCTCCGGCCCGTCCTTCACGTCCGCACCCGCCTTGAACTGCTCCTCCGTGTAACGGCCGCCGCTGGCGAAGCGCTTCCCGATTTGGTCGGCCTGCTGCCGCACGCTCGAGAAGACCTGAGGCCGCGCGCCGGTGTGAGGGCGGCGCCGCGCGTCCGCGCAGGGCAGAGAGATTGGCCGGCGGCGACCTCTGCCGTGGAGCGGAGCTCGCCCTCGTCCTTCCGTTCGGCGTGGAATTGGGACATCGGATAAGGGGTGGAATTGTGACTCCACCGAGTGTCTGCTTGAGAAAGTGGTACTCCCTTAGTGTAGGTAAACCATAAAAGTAGGTTTGAATTCGTCCACGTAAGGCTTGGTGAGTGGTTGGGGTGGCCTCAGGCATCCCCAAGGGAGCCGCTGCGGTGCCACATAAGCAGCTTAGCGATTGTCGAGACTTTAAAGTATTCGTGTGAAGAAACGCAAACAGGACAGACGGAGACGCTACTATGGTCACCAGTAAACCATAATTCGACTTTGAGGGGATCATATCTCAAAAAGCCGGGAGACAGCATAGCCCTTA